TTCAAATGTATATATAAAACCTAAAAAAAAATATTTTGTTTCATATCCTCCTTGTACAAAATTTTAAAAGGCTTAGCAACCTAAATTAAGCAGCAACTGAGTACAAAGGTTGTATTTACTGTTCTGTGTCTTAGGAAAAATATGTTTGAGAACTTATTTCAAAATAGCAATAATCTATATACATATATAATAATTGAAATGTGACTGTATTTTACAAAATACTAGTCTACTAAAACACAGCCAAGACAAGTTACTTTGTACAGACCAAAGGTCAACTTTATGTTATTGGATATGGTAACATGAGTGCACATGTGCCACATCATTGTAACTTTTGTATTGTTAGCCAGGCATGGCTGAAAGGTCAATTTAATAAAAAATAATATATATTTATATATATCAATATATAATGTTATGAGATTTAAGCTATTTCCTCTAAACATTTATGTTTTTGTATTATAATTTGTGTTCATTCTAGAATGAAAGAGGCATAATTTGTGTTTACTTTCAGTAATTAACCTTTGTACTGGTTTGGTAGATTTGCAACCACCATAAAAAAATTTGGAAATAATTGATAAAATATAATTTTTTTTTTAAAGAAATGTTTGATAACTATCAGGACATTATAAAGATTTTGCATGTGAAATTTTTAATCTTAAAATGAAAATTACTTTGCATGATAGATAGGCAAGATGTGAAAAGAAAAAAAAAAAGCATGAGAGAAACATTGCTTTACAAACCTTTACAAAAATTAGATATTTTGCATATGAAAGCATTGTCATGTTTACTGATAATCTGCCAAATTTTGTTAACATTCACTTACTAATTTAAAAGCTATAGCATGAAAACTATGACAAGCACAAAAGGGTTACAAGTTTGGTCTCGGGGACTAAGCCTGGGCTGAAAGAGTTAACCAGAAATTATCAGTAAGGTAATATTTACCATAGAGCCAAATTTCATGCGTTTAAGACAACTTGCAATTCATCTGATTTCATGCATGGTTCTGCTAGACTATGGTAAGTATGATTTGCTGTTCATAACTGACTGAAACCTACTATAACATTTTTAGACCTCTCGTGCCAAGAATTTTACTTGAAATGCAGGTCAGGCTCTGATTAAATTTTATTACGACTATTGTGTTCATTTGGGTTTCATCATAGGGGGGTACTTTTCTTTCTGGAAAAGGAAAACTTACTTCTATCCTATGTAGTTTAAAAACTTAACTGAGTGAAGAAACTGTTACACATGTGATGCATAAAAACAAAGTTTTGAGTTTGTTAGAGCTTTGGATAGGTTAGTTACAAAGTAGTTTGTATTGCTGATCTGAGCAGGTTGGTATAGGTAATTTTATTTTTAGATGTGATAAGTACAGAACTGTTGTCTTTTTTTTAAATAAAATTATTAAATTAGGGACTAGTTTACCTGATGATGATATGTGTGTTGATTGTTTGGGTATTTTAATGCATTAGATTAGAAAGTATATCTTTAGTTTGTTTGGTATTTGATTTTTGGAAGCTACGAGTGAATTAATGAGCCACTTGCAAAAGTTCAAATATTTGATGTTTTGTGTATATGAAAGTGAAGTTAATCTTGTATGTTATTTATTTCTAACGTTTAGGTTGTGTATGACAAACTAAGTTTCATAACATTTTCAATCACAAATTATATTTTTGTGTATTTTTACATTTAATAAATACTTCCATTGTTTCATTTTTAGTTGAAATAACCCAAAAAAACTATTCAGGTGCTCTTAGTTCATAATTGGTGTGGTGTTAGTACACAGTAAGACTTGAAGTAGTATCACTTACACCTTTCTTTAGAGGCAGAGTACCAGCATGTAGCATATATAAGAGCATTTCAACTGTACTTTGCTTGTTGCCTGCCACCAAATCTTTCTCAATATCAGTCTGTCTCAGTTACAACATACAAAATCTCAGTTGAAACAACAAATGTTTGTGTATAAGGCCTAAACTGAAAATTAATGTGATTTTAAATCAGAATGAGACAGTTAGTAAATTTAATTACATCAAGCCAGATTGATGCATTCTAGTACTGAACAAAAAAAAACATTTTCACTGGATACCTGTATTGAGCAAGTAAAGAAGGATGTAGTAGCAATTATTACAGCCTTCTTGTAATGCAATATTTTTAAAATTACTAAGAAACAGGTCATGTTTTAAGTATTACAAGTCATGAAACAATGTAATCAAGAATGTTATTTTTTGGTAAAAGCTGTTCTGTGGTTGTATCATAATAAGATGAAGTTTTATGCTCTTTTAAGTTGTGGATAATGATTTTAAAGTAGCAGAGTTCTGTTTTGTAATCAAGGTATGCCAGAATACACCTGATTCAAGCAGGAAAGTAATTAATAAGATTATATCAATATATTACTGAAAATGGAAAATACAATAAGTAGTATAATTAAGTTGTGTACAGTTTTGCAATAGTTTAACTTCATTAACCCTTATGTTATCCCCAAAAAGGTGTGGCTATCAAAAGCAAGATTTTAAAAATAATTACTAAATTCTGCATTTGAAATGCTTTTAATTATTCAAGAGGTATGATATTAATAAATGCTATTTGAAATATTAATGATATAATGTGAAATATTTTAACTGATTATTAAAACTAAGTTTGAAGTGTTGTTAATAATATAAATAGTGTGATTAACAAACTAAAAAAATAACTTGTAAAGTCATCTCGTGCATTAAACGTGGTTGGGTTTACTAGAGTGAACTTGCCTCCAACTGTGCTTTCCTTTTTTAAATAATAGCAAATTTTCTAAACACTGATACTTTCCTAGCTTAGTAATCAATTGTTATAAATTATTGATAGGTAGGTTTAATGTTTTCTTAAATAAGAAAAAATAGATAAGCACAGTATTGTTTTACCTACTGTCAGTTTCATTTGTAATATTTAGCTAAAAGGTAATGGGCAAGATGCCTCTTTGTGACCAACCAGAGGTGGCAAACTTGATGCTTTTCCCATTTTCTCAGTCTGTATTCCTTTACAAGATCTTATTTTGTGTAGATTTTTTCATGTATGCATTAGTGACTGAAATTTATTTGTAACATAATAATACCAAAAAATAGTAAGATAATTGGCCAAGAAGTATACTTTTTACAACACTTGTGGAAATTTGTCAAAAAGACATCATCCTTTTCTGTTTTTTGTATACTCCCATAGTTGAGCTATTTAGAAAAGAGCTGTCACATCTCAGCCTTACACAATGAAAAAGCAATTTCTAAATTATGGTATCTTGCATATAATTACCAAAATATAATTTTTAATCAATTGGAAACTAGTTATTACATTTTCCAAATCTTATAAAATGACATGTTTATAGTATGGATTTATTGTGAGAAAAATTTATTGAAAACTTGTGCATTAAATTTATTTCAATATAGAATGAATTTTAAAAAATTGGCTAAGCTTAGTAAGCAGCATGATGAAATGAGGCTTGAGAAGTTAGTAGTTTGTATAAAAACATCTGGTGGTGTTGGTTGGAGAAAGAACTAGAAAAAATTTTGTTTTTTGTTGGGAGTAAACCACAAGTGATGAAGTCAGAACAAGGAGCATTCATTAAAAAGGTTGATTTATCAGGAAAAGCTTTATGTACAATATGCAACAAATTTATAAATTGTGCTTCAAAGAGTTGCTCTACAACTTTGACACATGAAAATACTAAAATAGCACAGAGAACTGTCAAATGACTAACTAGATTTGGCTTTTTTCTGTGAACTTTAAGGTCCTGGTATGCATAGAATATATGAAAAAAGAATGACAGGATAATTTTTTCAGGGGAACATGACCCAAGACCCATTTAGCATGCTTCAGTGCCCAGTATCAGACTCAAAATATTTCAAACTTTTTTTGTTTGCTCATATTAGTTTTAGGCTCTATGAACTTGAGCTGACAGTTGGTTTGGTAGAGTTAATTCAAATGGCAACAGATAGATGTGTTAGAAGTTTTCATTCTTGTGACAAACTAACGATCTTTTAAATTTCTAGGCTTTTTGAACGAGCTGTCGATTCAGCAGGACAGGAGTTTCGGTCTGATCGATTGTGGGATTTATACATCAACTGGGAATTAGAGAATAAGCACCCAAGAGAAGTTACACAGCTGTATGATAAACTTCTGAACATTCCAACACAACTTTATGTCCATCATTTTGAAAAGTAAGTGAGAATCTAACTATTCATGTTGTGAACTAATAATAATCGCTGATGTGCTTATTATTTCAACATAAGATATAATCATATTTCAAAGACAACCTTAACCCTCCTACTATGGTTAGGAAAAAGTACATGTCACAACCTTTTATTTAAAATTTAATCAAGCTACTTTATTATTAATGCATACAAATAAACTTGGCATCAGAACATAGTTAATAAATCAAATTTTAATATTATATGTTATAATTTCAAAAGAAAATAAGTAAATTCACAATCTTGCTTTGTATGTGTATCATGACATTTGTTTGCTACAATTTGTCAATTTTTTACTTTATTTTAATCATCTAACTCTGATGTTCTAATTTTTATAACCTTCAACCTTAGTTATTTATGGAGATATACTCGTAAAAGTCTGGCCCACTTGCCATGCCCACCTATCACATTGTATCTTTCACAAATTGCCAATAATTCTCTCTAATATATGCTATTACATCATTTATAATCAATAGAAAGATAGTTTTAATTTACTGAATGACATATAATGCTACATTGTCCTCAGTAGTGTTTTTTTTATTTGTTTCACCTACAGATTGAAATTTGCTATCACTGAGTTCAAATTGAGTAGATTAAGACTTAAATAGGGAGCCACTAAATTATAATGAGTATAGGACATTGTTTACTTTATGTATGTTATTATTGTGTGTTCTTAAGTGCATATTTGAAATAAAAATTATTTAGTGTTCTAGTATCATCATTACAAAAAAAATATATACTTAAATTTCATCTGCAGACAAACTAAAAAAACTAGAAGCCAATGTTAAGTAAGAAATTTTGTTTTATTTTGCATTTATTTTTTATAAAAGTAACTAAAATTTAAAAAAAAATTTTTTGTATGTATGTATGTATGCAAGTAGCTTGTGCATTGTCATTCAGTACAGTAGCTTTTATTTACAATTTGTATCATGAGAACACTAGTTAGACATGGTTCAAAGGGTAATAAATCAATAAAATTCAGTAGAAACAGATGTAAATCGTTATGAATTTTAAGTTGCTCAAGATAAGTAATTGTAATCTGAAGTCATTCTAAAATTAAAAAAAGGGGGAATTTGATATTTATTTCATATTTTTTTTACAGTAATTACAAAATTGATCAAATCAACCAAATTTGTAATGAGTTAAAGTAGAGAAAGTAATAGATAAAATATAATGTTTTGATGAGAGAAAAAAGTTTGGGAGATTTTAGATGTTACGTAAATGAAATTTGAAAATTTTGAGATGAAGAAAAGTATTTTCCGATACAATACTTACCTCTTCTCACAAAAATAGCTGTTCTTGTTTAGTGTTGCTCTCTATATGCAAACTTTTTCTTTATGCATGCCACAAGCCTTCTGCTACCCCCTATTGGAATTGAAAGATTCCAATGTGTGTGACTTGTGCAAATCATCATGCGTCACTTCTCCACCAATAGGACCATCACATGCTCACATGACTCCCTCTATACTCCTTTACAGAATTATGACTTCTCATTTGACAGCACTAGTATTTGGAAGTGCTTCTTATTTGATTAAAGAATCAAGTTTGGCTTAAGTTTCCTCATGAAGTGATTTTCTTTCTTTATTTTTCAATCAGACAGTTTCTTCACTTTCAGTTTTATCAGTTAGTTCCAGTTGCATTATTATTTTTCACCTGTAGAATTTGGTGTAGTTTTTTTCACAATGAATTCCAAAGCTCATGTTACCACTTTGAGGGTCACACCATCGACTAGCATGCTTTCTCAGGCCTTGGATGAGGGTGACCTGATGGTAGATTTATCCACATTTCTTCACTGGAAGATCAAACATTACATGGGCTAGTCTTTGTCCCTGGACCTTGCCCTGGTTCCTCCTGAACAGATGGAGCCTGTTCAGACTGATGAGGACTTGGATAGTATATTTACACCTCCTGATTTTGCTGTACCTTCCCATCCCCTGCCTGAGGAATCAGTTAGACCTAACGTAGTCTTTTTGGATTTTGTTTCTCAGGTATGTGACATTTTATCCCTTTCTCTTATTTCTCATGAGCTACGTCCTTCCTTACTACATGACCAATCTTCCTACCTACCTCAATCAATTTGGCTTGCAATTAAGAGATGGGATTAGCATGCCTTATCCCCTGCAAGCTTCAGATCAGTTTGCGTTTTCATACCATCGTTCTGACTGTCCCTTTTTGGACCAACAATTGTTAAGTTCCATTGTGCCTGCTTGGGGGCACTCCCCGAATCTCCTGTCAGTCTGACCCCTGCCCAGTATTCTTGCCTGCATCTTACCCTTACAACTCTTTTACGGTATCTTCTTTACACCTTCTTTCTGATGCTTTCCATAGAAGTCCTGAGGAGTTTTCTGGGGATATCCTTACCCTTCTTTCCTCCACACTGGCTTGTTTTTAGTCTTTTAGGCTCTGGCTTTGCATACATGGTTTCTCTGTTGGACCTTCTAGGTCATGATATGATTTTGTCTCAGGTCCATTTACCATTGACTTATCTGCAGGATTTACGTATAGCCTCATTTGTGCGGCAGTTCGTTTTTAACATGATCTTGCAAACACTAAAGCCATGGGTGGTATTGGTCCAACAACAATCTACACTTACCAGTATTGTTGCACGTTTGTCTCAGTTCGAGCCTCATATGCCACCTATTACTGCTTTCTGTCCTTTCCCAACCCTTACCTGTACCTTCTTCTCGTCATTTTTTTACTAGTCACCAACAGTACCAGTGACTATCCAGTGGGTTCTGTTTGGGTGGGAGCTCAGCTAGCTGATTTTCTTCATCACTAGCATTCCTTTGACGAGGATCAATGGGTTCTTCAGGTTTTATCAGAAGGATTTGTGATCCCCTTTCTTTCACCATCTCCCATATTTTCTTTCTCCATTTCCTTCCCTCCTCCTCAGGATCCCGTGACCAGTCAGTATCTGTCGGAAGCGTTCGGGAATTACTATCTTGGCAGGCCATGGAATCTGTTCTCCATTGGATTAGAGGCTGATCATAGATTTATCTCACCTTAACTGCTACATTCACCTGCCCTGGTTGACCATGGAGTCTTCTCTCACCCTGAGGTGGGCATTTTCTCATGATTTATGGTTAACCAAAATGGATGTCAGCAACGCTTAACTCCATATACCTATATCACTTTGGTCTCATCCTTATCTTCAGTTTGTCCATCTTGGGGTGGTTTATCAATTTCGAGTCCTACCATTTGGAATTGTTTTGGCCCCTTATGTTTTCTGTTGGGTAGTCCGAGCATTTGCTTGTGCATCTTCATGCTCTTGGTTGATTTTTCACTGTTACATGGATGACTGTTTTTTTTCTGGCTCATTCCGAACCAGATTCGGACAGCTATAGTCGGCAGCTCTTTTTAGTAGTTGCTCGAGTGGGCTCTTAATCAAACTGGAGAAGTCCTTCCTCAGACTACTCAATGTTTCTTCCCTTTGGGTGTATTTTTCTACACTTGTATCAGTTGGCCCAGCCTTCTCCTTTAAGACTTTATTCTGTGGAACTGTTAGTTTGTCACTCCCTCTTGGTTCCATCACTTACTGTTTATAAGGTTCTATCACTATTGTGGATGTGGTCTTCAATGACATCACTGGTCCCTCTCAGTTGTGCCCACGAGATCTCTTCAGCGGGCTCTTCACGATCAGTGTAACCTTGCGTGGGATCCTCTTTTTTCTCCCATTACCCTTCCTCTTACTCTGCAAGACGATCTGCTTTGGTGGCTGGACAAAGCACATACTTCAGTTGGCGTGCCACTTCCTCCCTACGCATCTGGATCTACAATTTTTCACGAATGCATCTCTGCAGGGCTGTGGTGCTTGGGTCAACCACCAGGAAGCTTTGGGCTGTTAGTCTGTGGACAAAAGCAATTTGCATATCAATGTTCTTGAATTTCTAGCTGTATGTCGGTTGTTGAATCACATCCTTCTTCTCACCCGATATTGTCTGGTGATGGTTCATTCCAATAATTCTACAGTGGCTCATATCAATCACCAACATGGACACCTGGTCAAGAGATTTATGGTTTTGAACATTGCAGAGTGGCCCTTAGATCCCCCTTGTTTTCAGGGAGCTTTACAGTCCCCATGTGAATACATTTGCTACGAGCCTGAATCACAAGTTCTCTCTCTTTTTTTGGTTGCCAGTCCCCCATCCTTTGACTCTGGCAGTCGATGCCTTCAGCCAAGACTGGTCCCACAAATATCTTTATGTTTATACTCCTATCCAAGTACATCATTGGGTTATCTCTCATCCATACCACTCTTTGTTGGTTCCTTCTGATTACTCCTTATTGGCCAGCTCAGCTGTGGTCACATGCTACTCTCCCCTCCTGTATCTCTTCCTACCTTCTTTGTCAATCTTGGTCGCCGGTCCTACATCCCGCCCTTCATGCCCTGCATCTTCACGTCTAGCTTTTATCTGGTTTCTCCCACTGAGTTGCTTTCCTTTTAGTTTGTTCCATATATCCTTCTTTCTAGAATGACTTCAAATTGTAACATGAAACTACATTCGTTTATCCTTAGTAGTTTTAAACTTGTAACAGTATACATCTGTTTATATTTAAATTTTATTGTTTTATTGCTCTTTGAACCATGTTTAACTAATGTTTGCACTATTATAGGTTGTAAATTACTTTGGGAACATAGAGGTCACGTTATGCTATCTAATTATGTTACCCACGAGCCGCTCGCGTGCATGCCTCATGAAACAGTTTTATCATAATATTATTATAATTTATTTTACCTAATCTAACCATAACTAGCCTAAAGAGATCCCTATTTTTATATTTTAGTAACTTTTATAATAATTAATAAAGAATATACATGAAAAACAAGAAATAAAGTACTTACCCGAATCTTCATTTTTCTTGCTGTCAATTATTGATAACGCTTCACTTAATCCTACTTTTCTTATACTAATGGTAGTAATGCACTAATTAATTTTTATGTAATTAAATAATGCCTCACAGAACAAAGACTAATAACATGCAAACATCCTCTAACTCTCAGAATTTTTCTGGCTTTCTAACTGTGTGACAAGAGCTGTTACAAATTCATTCAAGCTAGACGTTGTCTAGTGGTTATAGATAATGTAGAATTAAACATGAGAGAGAACTACTAACAAATTATGAAAGAGAGGATGTGACAGGTGGATATGGCAAGAGGGGTCTGATTTTCTATTTGATAGCTCTATAACCTAACAAAATTGAAGGCTATAAAAATTGTTTTGTCTGAGCAATGATGATTTTATAGTGAGTAATTTATTTTGAATTTTGTAGTTATTGGAGGAATGATGGATAAAATAGTGAAGATAAGATGCCTAGAGAAAATGTGTCAAACTAGGGGAAGTTCAGGATTTTTTAGAATATCATTTTAGAAAATTGAGAACTTAAAACTTGTATACAATTAAAATATGGATTATTAGCTAAGATTTTATGCTATACTAATTATATTACATAAACAAAAAGTAGATCAATAAAATTTGAATGTAAATCACTAAAACCTTGTGTCATGTGCAGAAAAGGATGACCGTTGCGATAGGGTTAACATGAAAATCACTCTGCACTCGGAGAAGTCAACACTTTGACTCCTATATTCACGGACAAATCTTTAGTAAAAATACTTATTAAAAAATCTGATTCTTTGTTTACAAATAACTTGTAGCATTTACTAAAAGCTTTCCAAATTGTGTGAAGATGCATATAATGTATTAAAGGTTATAGTATTGAAACTGATGGTTACTTTGTGGTTACAAGGTCACTTACATCAACTGACTCAGAGTGGAAAGAGTTAACGTGATCTGGTAATTTGAAATGGTTATGAATATCTTTTATGAACAATCTTATTACAGAAACATTTGAACAGGAAACCAATTTAAGCTGTTGTTCTTGTGAGTTAGAGGGAGTGAGGCTACACTACAGATGACATAGTTTATGTTTGAAAACTCATTATTCAATTTTTGTGGTGCATATTGGAGTATAAAATACCTCTTAATTTTAGAAAATGATTTTATAACACCTTCTTTTTTTAAATTAGACATATATTTTACTTTAAGAGTTTGCTTCTTCAAGAGTGTTCCATTGAGAAACCATAATTGACTGTGCAAAACTTTAATTGGTTTGTATAAAAAATTCTAATCAATTCTGTAGTACAAAGAAATTTAATTTTTCAATACCTGTAATTAATGAAAGTAGCTTCAAAAAGTTAAAAACCATAATCAAGAAACTGACACTGCCTATTAAAGTTACTGTTTGAATAAGTCCAACTTTCATAAGTGTATTTTTAAAATCTCTGTACACTATCCTTCAGTATAGCAAGGCTTTACAGAAACATGTTTATTCGCTAAGGTTTGCTTATCTTGCTTCCAACGTTGTTTAATGTAACACTTGCCATCATAGATACATTGGTGAAACTGAAAGAACTACACACACAGGAGAACATCTTGACTCCTTACAAATAACAGTATGAGAGAAGTGCAGTGGCAGATAAATTTTTAATTAATCTTAGCTATATAAATCAATAAGAATTTTGTATATGAACCAGGTGAAGTTTTTTTTACTGTCAACTACAGTTTGTTTTAGTGGAATGCTTCTGAAGAAGCTGTAAAGCAAAACATAGTCTAATTCAGTAACAAAGTAGAAACTAAATTAGGTGTTGATAGGTCTTTTATTTATATTATTAAGACAGAACAGGACAAAAAGTATCAAAATATTTTAAAATGTGGCAAATATATTTTATTTTTCTAGAGTAACTGGTATGAATTTATTAATTTCTTAGAATATCTGCATATTTTGTAGTATCTTTAAAAATTTTCTTTATGAAATAAAGCTAAATATACAAGTTCATTTCATGTGATACTGTTTGATGACTTTGACTCTAACATTTTTTTTTTACATGTAATATATTTTTCTCATTAACTTGGATACATTGTAATACAACAGAATTAGCTGATTTTATATGTGTACTTTTGTAATTGTGATTAAATATTTCTATAGATTCCAAGAACATATTAAAAAACACCTACCAAAAGATTCAGTCTCAACAGATGAGTTCCTTGAATTCCGAAAAGAGTTTGTAACTATTAATGAGAAAGAAAAACTGATTCCTCCATTAGAGGATGAGGAGGAGGAAGCTCCTGAAGAGTCGGGAGATGGAGATGCTGGTCCACCTGGTGATGAAGCTCCCCCTGGTTTAGAAGATCCAGAGCAAGCTGATAAAGAAAAGGTTTATAAGATACTGTCTTGTAGAAAAAGTATTTTTAACATGTGCATAAGGATTGTGAGTATTTCAGTCTTTGTGTTTTCCAAAAGGGATGGGTCACTCTTGATTTGAATGATATTCGTGGCAGAGGACCAAGAGTTAAAAAAATAAAAGTTGTCATTTACTAGTTTGAAATTGTATTTTTCTGAATTTGTTTTCGATACAAGTCTAGTTGAACTGATATCCTAAGTATTAAAAGTTATTTAATGTTTTTTTGTCAAATTGAAGTGATACTTAAATTGCAGTCTAATCCATTTGTAAAGACACTGTTCATTTTAGTAGGATTAATCCTTTCAAATTCTAAAACAAAAGCTTTATAAGTTGATGATTACTTCTATATTTCGTTGTGAGATTTGTATATAAATTTCATCTTCAGATGAATGATGAAGAGACCAAGTTTTTGAGAGAGAAAATTATTGAGAAGAGAAAAGAAATATTCAAGAAAAATGAAGAGGAGGTTGGAAAAAGATGGAATTTTGAAGAAGGAGTAAGTAAAATGTTATTACTTGCAATTACGTTTTCTTAAGTTTTAGTTTAGAATTTTAAATATCATGATGTTTGGATTATAACTAGTATGATTATTAAGCTTCTTAATATTTAACTTATGAAAAGTCTACTGAACTATGAGTAAGGCAGAATTGACACCAGAGTCAATTTTAAGTCAATGATACAGTTTGTGATTATATATATGTTGATGTACAAGATGAGTAGCTTTTATAGTTTTATGGCTGTTATTATAAAATATAATTGTTGTGTACATAATCTGTCTGTAAGATAGGTATTTTCTATAGCTTTGAGATTGATCTGTACACAAACTAGATTTGTAAGATGAATGGTTTGTGTAGTTCTGTGACTTTTATATACACACAAACTGTATCTGTAAGATGATTAGCTTACATAGCGTTGAGACTTCTGTGTGTAACTTAGATCTGTAAGATGGTGAGTTTATGTTGTTTTTTAATTGTTTACTCTGTACATAATCCAAATCTGTAAGGTAGTTAGCTTATATAATTATATTCTTGACTCTTGTTCTGTGCATAATTCAGATATGTAAGATAGATAAAGTCTTGACTGTTCTTTATGTAATCTAGGTCTTTTAAAATGGGTAACTTTTATTATTGTGTGATTATTTTTATCTGTGGCATAGAGGTTCATAGATTCTGAGTTTTTGTTTTTTCAAGTACAAACTTTTATCTCATAGCTTCATCTCTTGATCAATTTGAGACCCAATTAAAGTTTTGGACTCAGGAAGTCAAACCCCTTTCGTTTGATGTATTTGATCATGCCTGAGGTCTCGTAAATTAATTTGCTGTAATCCTGCCCAAAAGAATTTTATTTTGAGGGTAGGCTGGTAGAGATCCTGATGAGTAATAAAATTGAATTGGGTATATGCACACCCAACGGTTGGTATTGCTGGTGCACAAAAATATAGCTAATAAAAAGGATTTATAGATTAATACTAATCCTGCCTGAAAGAATTTTGAGGGCTATGGCTATTGAGAATTCCCTCTTGTTTGTTTGTAATTTAGATCTGCATTATGGTGTGCTTATTGTTTTGTACTTTATTTTTATTCTGTACATAATTCCTGTCTGTAAGACTTTTGTATGCTTACTTTTTTTTCTTTCCTTATTAGGTAACAGTAAAAGTTAACAGAATAAATCAGTAAGAGATGTTTAATTTGTGTTTGTTTCAGATTAAAAGGCCATATTTTCATGTAAAACCTTTGGAGCGTGCTCAGTTGAAGAACTGGAGAGAATATCTAGATTTCGAAGCACAGAACAGCACCCATGAAAGAACTGTTATCTTGTTTGAAAGATGTATGATAGCCTGTGCTCTGTATGAAGACATGTGGATGAAGGTATTGGATTGATAGACATTTGACAAAATATTTGTTACTATCTAAATAGAAAATTATTTCTCTTGTGAAATTTTTTAGATTTTTAATCTTGATAAGGTGGGTTTTTAATTTTACCTTAAAATATTTTTAGTTAATTCATGTGTTTCTGATTTATATTAAGAATAATACTTCAGTTATAAATGAGATCTATGTAGAGGGCTACTTACAAGTTAAGATTTGCTAAGAATTCCAAATATTACGACTGGGAGTTTTAACATAACTATAAGAGAAACCAAAACATCAAATTCTAGATAAAAGCCTTTGTGGTAGTTGGGGGTACTTAGCTTACTGCATTTCTTCTGATCACTCGTTAAAAATCAGAGATGTCTTAATGTTCTTAAGGGACATTTAACCCCTGTTTTCATAACTTGTTATTAAAATTAAAAAATCTAATCTTAGATAAAAGTTTATGATAAAAACTACATTATATGACCTACTTTTGTGATAATTGTTTGGTGTGATATAATTTGGTTAAATGTGTTAGAATAAGAAATTGCCACCATATTTTTAGTACACTTAGCTAAGATTAAGTGTATGATTATGGAAACTTGGATTTAACCTTTTTTTTTTCTATTCATGCAAGTTTTGTAATATATTTCTTAGTCGAGGAAAACTTTTGGAAAAACAAAGTTAATGCCATTTTGTTGAGTTTGTACTCAACCCTCCCACCTTTTAACTTTTGAAAAATGTTGTTAAAAAGAAATCTGTATCAAGATTATTTTCCTTGATCCAATTGGATCTGTTGATAAAAAAAAAATATATGCATATGTGAATAATTCTTACAAGTTATGACTTTGACAGTACAGTGCTTTTCATCTTTGAAGAAGAAATTATATTATTACTAATTTTACCTAATCTAGTCTTAAATAACTTAAAAAGATCCATATTTTTAGATTTTAATTACTTTTATAATAATAAATATAGAATAAATATGAAAAACAATAAATAAAGTACTTACCCAATCTTTTTTTTTTCTTGCTCTCAGGTTTCGAAGAGAGTTAACCCTAATTTTTTATATTATAGATAGTAATGCGCTTAATAATTTTTATTTAACTAAATAAT